ATCATCGAAATTGCGAGTAGGCCGAAGCATAGATCCAGAGTAGCCCCCAAGGTGAAGGTGCCTCGGCCCACGGCACTCAGACGTGGAGGGATTGCCATATAATAGAGTTCGCAGCACAAGTTTTGTCTTGTGGGGCCAGGTTTTTGGCAGTGCGCGGAGTGTGGGCCCCATGTCAGAGAGACCGACGTCCGAGGGTCTTCGGGACTGCTCCCTGTCGGCCTGCCCCTCTGTGGCTCCCAAAGAACACGTCCTTCCTCCCGGCAGTCGCCCACTCGTGGCGCACGCGAGGCCCGTGGATGCCCCTCTCTGGGGGACCGCTGGGCATGGACGAGCCACCTGTGCTGGTATGCCGCCTGCCTTCCTTGTAGGACAGCAGGCCGCTACCCCTCACAAGGTGGGGTTCGGGGGCGGGTCTGTTTTGTGTGGCCTGCGCTGTGCGTGGCCCAAGCCGAGATCAGTGAACCCAGCTGGTGGTTGTGCTGCCCTTGAAGGCCCCAACAGGGTCCCCCTAAGCGAGTGCGCAAAAGGCCTGCCACGCAGGCAGAAGTCGCGCTCCTGGAGCCGAGCTCAGCAGCCTCTGGTAGAGCTCGAGAGCCCGGGCACGCTACAGGCTTCCAGCCTCCTTAGGGCCCTTGCGGGTGTGGCCGTGCCCATATCCAGTCGGCCGAAGGATGAGGAGCTTAAACTGCTATTCGTTGGGACAGGTGGCCCAGAATGTGGTGCTGCCACTGACAGGCCCGCACGTTCCCTGCGGCGCGTTGTGGAAGCGCTGCGCGCTCAGGACGACGAGAGGCCTCTTGTTCAACGAGTGGTGAAGGATGAAAAGACTCTTCGGGCCCAGGGTCTCTGGGTGTAGAGTGTCTAATCTGCGCCAGCACGGTGTTGGGCTGCGCAGCGCCTTCTCCTCCCCTCCATGCAACCGCCCTTTAGTTTGTTCCCCAACCATCCGGTGGTGTTGGGTCCTCATTTGAAGAGACAGCGCCCCACGTCTCCTCCTTTCTCGTCCCCTCCTCCTCCCAACCTTGCGTCTGCCATCTGCATGTCCACCATTTCAGCGCACCCAGTACGGCACAACGTGGCACGATAGGGACCTCAACCGAAGGTCCCAGTGGCTGTGATCACATGCGTCCGCGCCACCCAGTACGGCGTTGCAGGGCCCCATAGATAGTGAGCTCCACCGCAGGCCCCAGCGGTTGTGATCGCATGCGTCCCGCGCCGCCCAGTACGGCGTTTCGTGGCCACATAGGGAGCTCCACCGAAAGCCCCAATGGTTGTGATCACATGCGTCCCGCGCCACCCAGTACAGCGCTTCGTGGCCCCATAGAGAGCTCCACCGAAGGCCCCAGTGGTTGTGATCACATGCGGCTTGCGCCAGCCAGTACGGCGCCTCGTGGCATCATAGGAAGCTCCACCGAAGACCCCACTGGCCATGATCACATGCGTCCCGCGCCACCCAGTACGGCGTTCCGTGGCCCCATGGGGAACTCCACCGAAGGCTCCAGTGGCTGTGATCACATGCGCCCCGCGCCACCCAGTACGGCGTTGCATGGCCCCATAGGGAGCTCCACCGAAAAGCCCAAGTGGTTGTGATCACATGCGTCCTGCGCCACCCAGTACGTCGCTCCGTGGCATCATAGGGAGCTCCACCGAAGGCCCCAGTGGCTTTGATCACATGCGTCCCGCGCCAGCCAGTACGGCGTTTCGTGGCACCATAGGGAACACCGACGGCCCCAGTGGCTGTGATCACATGCGTCCCGCGCCACCCAGTACGGCGCTTCGTGGCCCCGTAGGGAGCTCCACCGAAGGCCCCAGTGGCTGTGATCACATGCGTCCCGCGCCACCCAGTACGGTGCTTCGTGGCCCCATTTGGGGGCCCTAGTGGTTGTGATCACATGCGTCCCGCGCCAGCCAGTACGGCGTTTCGTGGCCCCATTTGGATCTCCTCCGAAGGCCCTCAGTGGCTATGATAACATGCGTCCCGCGCCACCCAGTATCGCGTTGCAGGGCCCCATAAGGAGCGCCACCGCAGGTCCCAGTGGTTGTGATCACATGCGCCCCGCGCCACCCATCACGGCGTTTCATGGCCCCATGGGGAGCTCCACAGAAAAGCCCAGTGGCCGTGATCACATGCGTCCCGCGCCACCCAGTACGGTGCTTCGTGGCCCCATAGGGAATTCCACCGATGGCCCCAGCAGAAATGATCACATGCGACCCGCACCACCCAGTACGGCGCTTCGTGGCCACATGGGGAGCTCCACCGACGGCCCCAGTGGTTGTGATCACATGCGTCCCGCGCCACCCAGTACGGCGTTTCGTGGCACCATAGGGAACTCCACCGGAGGCTCCAATGGCTGTGGTCACATGCGTCCCGCGCCACCCAGTACGGCGCTCCGTGGCCCCGTAGGGAGCTCCACCGAAGGCTCCAGCAGATCTGATCACATGCGTCCCGCGCCACCCAGTACTGTGCTTCGTGGCCACATTGGGAGTTCCACCGAATGCCCCAGTGGCTGTGATCACATGCGTCCCGCGCCACCCGGTACGGCGCTTCGTGGCCCCATTTGGGGTCCACCCAAGGCCCCAGTGGCTGTGATCACATGCGCCCCGCGCCACCCAGTACGGCGTTGCACGGCCCCATAGGAAGCTCCACCGAAAAGCCCTAGTGGTTGTGATCACATTCGTCCCGCGCCACCCAGTACGGTGTTTCGTTGTCCCATAGGGATCTCCACCGAAGGCCCCAATGGTTGTGATCACATGCGTCCCGCGCCACCCAGTACGGCGCTTCGTGGCCCCATTTGGGGCCCCACCGAAGGCCCCAGCGGCTGTGATCACATGCGTCTCGCGCCACCCAGTACGGCGTTGCATGGCCCCATAGGGAGCTCCACCGAAAAACCAAATGGTTGTGATCATATGCGACCCGCGCCACCCATTACGACTCTTCGTGGCCCCATAGGGAGCCCCACCGAAGGCTCCAATGGCTGTGGTCACATGCGTCCCGCGCCACCCAGTACGGCGCTTCGTGGCCCCGTAGGGGGCCCCACCGAAGGCCCCAGCAGATCTGATCACATGCGTCCCGCGCCACCCAGTACGGCGCTTCGTGGCCACATGGGGGGCTCCACCGAAGGCCCCAGTGGCTGTGATCACATGCGTCCCGCGCCACCGGGTACGGCGTTTCGTGGCCCCATTTGGGGCTCCACCGAAGGCCCCAGCGGTTGTGATCACAAGCGCCTCGCGCCACACAGTACGGCGCTTCGTGGCCCCATGGAGAGCTCCACCGAAGGCCCTCAGTGGCTGTGTTCACATGCGTCCCTCGCCACCCAGTACGACGTGAGGTTGCCCCATAGGGATCTCCACTGGAGACCCCACTGGTTGTGATCACATGCGCCCCGCGCCACCCAGTACTGCGTTTCGTGGCCCCAGAGGGAGCCCTACCGAAAAGCCCCAGTGGTTGTGATAACATGCGTCCCGCGCCACCCAGTACGGCGTTGCATGACCCCATAGGGAGCCCCACCGAAAAACCAAATGGTTGTGATCACATGCGTCCCGCGTCACCCAGTGCGGCGCTTCGTGGCCACATGGGGAGCCCCACCGAAGCCCCCAGTGGCTGTGACCACATGCGTCCCGCGCCACCCAGTACGGAGCTTCGTGGCCCCATGTGGGGCGCCGCCGAATGCCCCAGCGGCTGTGATCACATGCGTCTCGCGCCACCCAGTACGGCGTTTCGTGGCATCATAGGAAGCTCCACCGAAGGCCCCAGTGGCTGTGATCACATGCGTCCCGCGCCACCCAGTACGACGTGCCGTTGTCCCATAGGGATCTCCACCGAAGGCCCCAACGGTTGTGATCACATGCGTCCCGCGCCACCCAGTACGGCGCTTCGTGGCCCCATAGGGAGCTCCACCGAAGACCCCCCAGTGGTTGCGATTACATGCGTCCCGCGCCACCCAGTATGGCGTTGCATGGCCCCATAGGGAGCTCCACCGAAAAACCAAATGGTTGTGATCACATGCGCCCCACGCCACCCAGTACAGCGTTTCGTGGCTTGCCTGTAGGGAGCTCCACCGAAGGCCTTGTCGGCGGAGTCCACATTCGCCACCCCGCCCATGTTTGCGAATCTTCCCATCACTGCCCGTGGCCCCATAGGGATCGTCTTTCGGGGAGCAAGCGCATCAGTGACACGCAGCCGTGGGGAACCCATCAGCCTGTTACCGCTGAAGAAAAACCTGGTCGCCTGGCACAAACTTAGAAGTAACACACTGACGGGCTGACAGCGGCAGCGTGACATTGATGTTGTGTTCTCCCTCCCGACTCTGACTTGCAGTGTGTGCGCTGGGGTTACAGGTGACAGTTGCCGATTTCCGGGCCAGGCGTTCGCAGTATCTGGTGACCGTCGGGGCATCCCGCCACCGTGCTTGAGCTGTGGTCCGGAGTTGTCCTGGCCGCCTCTCTTGTGCTTAGGGATGCCTCGCTGGGGCCTCCTGGAGCCCTCGTGGGACCAGGTCGGGGCCGCGACGCTGAGGTATCGGAAATCCCCACTGGGGCTCACTTCCCGCAGGCATCCTCAAAATTCTGAACACGAGTCGTTTTTTTGTGTTTTTTGTTTTGTTTGTTTTTTTGTTGTTTTACATATATATATATATACACATATATAAATATATTTCGTACAAAGGTAGGGCTCACATGCGGTTGCCTACTCAGTGCCTACGGCACGGTGGCGGATGTGAACGGGGACTCGCAATTGCAGGGGGTCCTTCGGCCCTGATGTGGTGACCGTCGAAGTACATGCCCCTATGAGCGATCGATTCGACATGATCCTCCCTCCTGAGCTGGTCCAGGGGCTGCCTGACTACAGTCGAGGAGCCGCGAGGCCAGATCGTGGGCAGCCCCGCTCGGGATGCTCAGCAGTTGCGTTGCTCGGTCCAGGGGGGTCCGAGGGCCACGGCCGGAGCAGTCGCGATTGCGTGCGCGCGCGTCCCTGGCGTCTGCTCTCCTCACGCCCCGAGGATGACAGACGAGCCCTTCGCCGTGTTCTGCGACTGGGCCAAGGTGGGGCGCGGGAAGGGCAGCAGACACGCCGAAGAGCTGCGCCTGTGCGGTGGTCGTTGCCGGTGGTCGTTGCAGTCTGCGCGCGCCCTTGAAGTGAACCACGCATGGAAGATAATGGCCTTCCAGAGATGTCACCAGGGGTCCCTTGAGGCCCGCATCGACAGAGCGTTTAAACTGGTGACGTCTTGGAAACCTGGGAACGGAACGCAATTTACAGGAAGGGTTATGCGCTCGCGAGGTTACTGGGTCGCGTGCCACCCGGGACATGGTACCAACGCATCCTTCAGAGCAGTAGGGGCGACCGAGGAGGCCATCATTGGGTTACAAACGCGCAAAATGATGATCGTTCGCAAACGAAGGCTATCTTTCTGGACTCTTCGCGTGACCCCACCAGCCCATCCAGGAAGGATGCCCAGACGAATTGCCCTGATCAGGGACGTGGTGAAGAATGCTATGGAATCAAGGGCTGGTGGGCAGGACGATCGGAGGAGGAGCAGGAGGATGATGAGGAGGAGGAGGGGCGAGGGGGCGGGGGAGGAGGGGGGAGGAAGGGGTAGGAACAAACGGGCGGGGGAGAGTAGGAGGAGGAGGAGGAGGAGGAGGAGGAGGAGGAGGAGGAGGAGGAGGAAGAGGGCGAGCAGGAGGAGTAATAGGTGGAGGGGGAGGTGAGAAGAGGAGGAGGAGGAGGAGGAGGAGGAGGAGAACTATGCCGATGAGGAAGGGGAGGAGAGCGAACAGAAAGGCAAGAGGCCGCTTGGATGCTTCCCTTAGTCCCTTCGGATGTCTCTTGAGACCTCATTTGGGGTCCTCTTGGGGCGTCTCGGGGGCCCCTTGGCTGTCCCAGGGGCCTCTTCGAGCGCCTTTGGTCTTTCAGGGGAGCCTCTTAGGGGCCCCTTGGGGGTCTCCTGGGAGCCTCCTGGGGACCTCTTGGGGGCCTCTTGGGGGGCTCCTGGGCGCCTCTTGCGGCCCTCTTTGGGCCGCCTTGGGGGCCTCGGGGGCCATCTTGAAGCCATCTTGGAGGAGATCGATCAAAGAGGGGGGGGGACCAAACCGATGGGGGCCAAACTGTGCCAATGGGTCCAAATATTCAGTAAAATCAGTGATTCACCGAGGTCGTCCTGGACGCTCCGATGGGCCGCGGCCCCCCACCCCACCCAGGTACAGGGCAGGGGGTAGGGGGAGGAGTAAACCCCTCCCCGAAGGGGAAGAGGAGATGGAAGAGGAAACGCTCCAAACTACCCACGCCCAGAGGGCTGGTGGATTTTCTGCAGTGGTCGTGTCGAGGTCGCTGTGCATGGTGGTAAAATAGTGTTCGTTTGTGTGTGAGGTGAGAGTCGAACCGTGCAGATCAGCAGCACCAGCGCGTTGGCTTACTATGCGAAGGAAGTTTTCTGGCATGGAAGCACACCCGAGCTGGACGATCAGTACGAGAAGGATAGCATGGCTAGCAACACCAAGTGCATGGTGTTGCCATACATACCTTGCGTGGACTGCCGTGGATTTGTCTTGACGGGATACTCGCTCTGAAAAGCTCGTTGTGTACTCATCAGTCGCAGGCCTTGGCGCAGCCGAGATCGAATCGGTTTTTGCAACGTGCGTGTTCCAGGCTCCGTTTCGAGACACGTTATGTATATTCGGGCTCAGCTTCTTGTGCATGCATGTCGGTCCCCTTGCAGAACTGTACTTAGGATGGGCGGGCCTGTTTGTACCAGACTGGAGCGGGAGGCGAATTTGCGACGAGTGTTGCGCAGACCGCCTCAAGATCTGTCCTTCGACTTTGCCGAGAATTGCATAGGTCACGCCAGCGGTGCTAACAATGAGCCACCATTTCTTGCTTGTCTTTGAACCTTGAGAGAACAGGATCTGCGTCTGGATTGTGGATGCAGCCGCAGATCCCATCCTTATCCCGCTCTTATCGTTGTCCTCCACCTCTCCGAGTCTTTTTGGACGTACTCACGGCCTGCCCCCGCAAGCATGCGCGAGCGGGGAAGATTGAGAAGGCCTTACGGTGCGTGCCGCCGACCCTGAAGAACCCTGAAGATGACGACCACGAGGACGAGGAGGAGGAGGAGGAGGAGGTGGATGAAGAGCAGGAGGACCCTTTAGGGGCCTCCCGGGAGCTTCTGTGGGCCGAGGGCTCCAGATATCAGGTTCGGTCCTCCGCCTGGGCACCCTCTCGGAGCTGTCCTGGTGCTCTTCGTGAGGGGGGGAGACGAGGAGGAGGAGGAAGAGGAGGACCGAGGGAGGGGGGGGGGCTCTCTTGGGGCAGTCTTGGCTCGTCTTGGGCTTCTTGGGCTCCATGACACCCGGGGGGGGAGGCGTATTTGACCCAGGATCCCCCCCCCCCCCCGGAACCCCCCCTGGAACCCCCGCCCCCCCCCCTCTCTGGACTGGACCCGGGACCCCCCCCCCCTTCCCGGCGGGAAGGGATCAAAGAGAAGGGGCTTCCCTTCGAGTCTATTACGACGTATTTTCGCCATGGCGGGCGCGCCTACGGAGGAGGGGCCTGGCAAGGAGGGGGGCGGCGACGGGTACAGGGAAAGAGCTGCCCAAGGAAAGAGGAGAACGACAGAGACGACGATTCACGAATGACGGCGACGACGACTCGAACGGAGCAGCCCTCGCACACACGCCGACAGGGTCGGCGGACTTGTGGAGAGCTCGCGGGCAGGTGCTGGCCCTTGCCCCCCCCCGCCCGCCTCACGTCGCCCCGCCCGGCTGACGCAGGGTCGTTGTGTTTCGTTTGGCAGACCATCTGCCATCGCTTTGTCGAAGAATTTGCTTGGTCGTTGGTCTACGTCCAATCCTCCTCCTGTCGGGCCGAACGAGAGGGGGGAATAGGGAAAGGGGGGGTTCGAAATCTGCTGCACGCGGCTGGTTTCGGCCCCGCCGCTGGGCCCGTTCCTCGATACGTGGGCGCCTCCTGGCGCCGGGAGGCGCTGGGAAAATCAGCTGCGTGAGCTGATTTTGAACCCCCCCCCTTTGCTATCCCCCCCTTTCGCCCGGCCCGATCGTTTCGCCGATCCTCCACCTCCTCCTCCTCCTCCTCCTCCTCCTCCTCCTCCTCCTCCTCCTCCTCCCTCCTCCCTCTGCCTCCTCCTCCCTCCTCCCTCTGCCTCTTCCTCCTTTGCTATCCCCCCCCTTTTCGCCCGGCCCGATCCCTCCTCCCGGCCCCGCCCCGTCTTCTCCGGCGCGGTGGGCCCGGGAGCATGGGCATTGCCTTCGATTGCCTCCTCCTCCTCCTAATTATCCCTTCTCCTCCTCCTCCTCCTCCTCCTCCTCCTCCTTCTGCTCCTCCTCCCCCTCCTCCTCCTTCTGCTCCTCCTCCTCCTCCTCCTCCTCCTCCTCCTCCTCCTCCTGCTCCTCCTCCCCCTCCTCCTCCTCCTCCTCCTCCTCCTCGTTGGCGGAGCGCGCTGCCTCGGACGACGCCGTGCTGCAGGAGCCCTCCGGTCAGAGCCCCGAATCATCAGGGGTAACTCGGGTCAGGGATAGCTCGGGTTCGCTTTTCGGGGATCCAGACCCGAGTTACCCCGGACCCGAGTTACCCCGGATGAATCGGGCGTCCAAGAGCCCCGAATCATCAGGGGTAACTCGGGTCAGGGATAACTCGGGTTCGCTTTTCGGGAATCCAAACCCGAGTTACCCCGGACCCGAGTTATCCCGGATAACTCGGGCGCCCAATTCGGGAGTTGGCATCAGGAGTCGTTATTTGCCACCTTAGCCCGGGGTGGATGTCCAACTTGGGAGGATGGGCATCACCCAGTCTGCCGTCCGACATGTCATTGCTGCTGCTCGCGGCCGGCAGAAGCGTTTGAAGTTTCAAGCGGTAGCCGCTTCTCTGATCAGGGCCAAGTGCGGTGACCGTGATCAGCGGCTTCAGCACAAGGTCTCAAGGTGGAATTTCAAAGGCAATGCAGCTGACAATGCGGCGAGGATCCGCACAAATTCTGGGCTAGTGCACAGATGGTGCCCGCCTCGCGTGGCCGCAGCATATATCCGTACTGTCGCCAATGGATGGACCACTCGCCGCCGCATGCGCCATGCAGACATTTCCACCCAGAGCGCTTTCGGTAGCTGCTTGCTCGGCTGCGAACGCGGCGAGGACAGTCTATTATTCGGTTTGTTCAGTGGTGTGAGGAATGTATCCGTGCGGTAAGACCGTCAGGTTTGGGCTTTCCTTCTGAGCCTTCCAGATTTTCTTCCTTTCTGATGGACACATATACCTGCAACGACGACAGAGTCAGAACAGCACTGGCTGTGTACGCAGTCTAGCGCGCTACCAACTACCGGCGACACGCTGCGACGGACTCCGCGCAGGGCATGGACGTGCGACGGTTGCTTAGCAGATGGGGTCGCCGCGGCGCTGAACGCTCTCGGGCATGGCAGCTGCTTCGACCATGAGTGCAACATCACCTGTCTCACGACGTGTTGGTTCCGTTTGTGCGGAATCATCGTTCGGCACAGTAGTCTCCTCCCCGTCTTTCCTCCCTCTCCTCCTCTGCTTCCTCCTCCTCCTCCCAGTGGTGTCCGCTAGTTGCTTCTCTGAGCAGGGGGGGGGGGCGCGATTTGTCCGATCCAGCTGGCAACTGCGGCAGGCAGGATCTTAATCTTAAGTTTGACCGTTCCGGCTTATCCTCGGTTTTTAGGCTGACGCCCGTCAGTCTCTTCGAGCCTTGGTGGCGCGCAGCGGTTCGCCTATTTCATGTTGGCTTGAGCGTTGCTCCTTGTGTTCTGATGTCGTCCTCCTCCTGTTCCTCTTTCCTCCTCCCCAGGAGCCGACGCCGATCGCGGCTCAACGTGATATTTTCATGGTTTGGCCTCTCCGCTCCAAGCGCTCAAGCGTGAAGCAAGAAAACGAACACGCGAGCACGCTTTGATGTTGATTAGTTACGTTTCTTTCTGCGTAAACGTAGGTGATGGGCAGTTGCCCCGACCCAGTTACGCCATTGGTTGATAAAAACTGCAACCAGCTGTTGTGGAGGACCCGCCGCACTTGATTCTGGGCCCCGACACTACCGCCGCAGATCTGATGAAGTGGGTCTACGGCAGACTCGAGACAGTACAGCCTGCGAGGTGGGCGACATTCTACTCGGACCGAGCTGTCGCGACACCAACCAACTAGGCAGCGGACGCTTTTAACGACGCCAAAAAAGCACCCCTTGGTCCGGACACGGAGATGCGATCATTGAGCATCGATTCCGTGGCGTTGGAATGCATCGGGGTTGAGTTCTATTCGGATGAGTTTCTCCACGCGTTACAGTTGGAGACATGCCCCCCTGCGACCTGCGCATTCGCAATGGATCCCCGGTCGTTCTATTGCGGAATCTCGCACCGCGCAGAGGCTTCTGCAATTGCACCAGGCTGGTCGTAGAAACGCTCATGACATTTTTTTGTTGCTCGTCCGCACTGTCACCGGCCCGCTCCGCGGGGAATCGGAACTGATACCACGCATCTGTTGCGACAGCAGCGGGGGCACCAATCTGCCTTTGGTGTTATGTCGACCTGCTTGGGCCAGAACCATCAAGAATAGTAAGTTCAACCTTTGCCTGGCAGGGTCGGCGTGCACCTTCCCACCCCTGCGTTTTCACATGGCCAACTGCACGTTGCCTTCTCGCGCGAGGTCACATCGAAGAGCGTCAGGGTGTCAGTGGATGACACCGGATATAATAAGCAACGAGCCGTGAGTGACCAGACGAAGCAATCGCACCATCGCGCGCTCAACATCGTGGACAAAGTTGGCCCATTCCATGCCCCAACCACGTACAAATACATAAGCGATTCATTCTATACCACATGAGCCTCCACTGCACACGATGCCGCCTTCTGCGCGGCCGCCGTGTCCAGCCCCGACAGCTCCCGCCAGCGCAACCTGCCTCATGGAATGTGAAGACGACGCAGACGCGATTCGATTGAGTTTTTTCGGCCAGATCTTGCGTTGCAAATGAGCTGTGAGACTCAAGTGGATGGGAGGAAGAACGCAACCCTAAAGAGGGCGCGAGTGAGGAGCACGGGGGGGGAGAGGAGGAAGAAGCAACGACGACGACGACGCGGATGATGGGCCGAGGATGGGGATGAAGGCGACGAGGGTTCGGATTATGGTTCTGATTGGTCCCTACAAGAGGCCAGGTCCTTATAAGAGAGAGGCGACGACACGACGATGATGAGACAGGCGGCGCCCCGCCTACAGGGGGTGGGGCGTGGGCGCGGCGGCTCAACACGGGCAAGGGCCTACGCGTAACAAACAGCAACACCAAGGCCACCCAACTTAGCTCCACGCTTGTGAAACACATGCGCATCACGACTGCGAAGCAGGATTGCAGTCCAAACGCGCATGGCTCCTTGACAGAAGGCCCCCCCAATGGCCACACTTTGTTGCGGCCACCTTCGGGCCACAGTGGCCATTGCTCAGGGGCACGCGTTGGCGAATACAAATCCTGCCACCCCTGTCGATCCATCGACCGCACAAGCGTCCATACCGTTGCGCTACCGAGCCGTCTCATACTCTAGTCCGGCACCAAGGACGGCGACGGCAAGCTTGCGGCAGGAGCAGGCGCCGGGCAAACAGTCACTTGTTCGGGCGAAGAGAACTATGCACATGCACCGATCCTGGCAAGGCCCATCCTTGACCCAGGATCGGTGCATATACCTTCCTGGCCAAGGTAGGAGGGCGTATGCACCGATCCTGGGCTCAGGATGGGCCTGGCCAGAATCGGTGTATGTGCATAGTTCTCTTTCCTCTACTTGTGGCAACCTAAACGGTCGCCCAGCGCACGGGCGTTCACCGATTGTGTGCCGCAAGGGTGGAGCAAACACGAGGTGAACGCCGGGAGCGGTGGGGGCCTGTGACGCGACGCGCAAAACAGCGACACAACCCATGCAGACAGCACCCCTACTGAGCTATTGGATGCATGTAGTAGAGGCATACTCAAGTACTGTGGGTCCAGATCCATGGGAGGCTCGTGCTTGCTGAGGTCACCAGAGGCTTTGGGACAGGGGGCAGTTACTTGCCCCAAGTGTGCATCTGCACGATGGTCCCGTCCCTCCATGAATTTTGCGAATCTACGCTTGGTGATGTTGGCCCTGGCATGTGGACACATGCGCTGCTGTGTTGATGTCGAGACCCGGGGCGCACTAGAACCGAAGCGCGCGAAGTGCTCGCATGGTTCTGGCATATGCTAAAGTACGTGCATCTGTAAGAACTAGTTACCAGCTTTGGCAATTTAGCGAGTGATCGGAACTGCCAGGCACTAGCCATGCCTGATGATCTGCATGTCCAAAGCATGGCCCTTTGATGTCATCTTACCCTTTGCTAACAATAGCTCTAGGCAGTGTTTGTAGATGCGCGAGTCGGCACCTGTGGGTAGTTTTACAAGATCCTGGCATCGTGTATTCACTCATTCTAGCAATACGTGCTCCGCTTGCGTAGGCAGGAACATCAAGTTCAGCACAGCTTGCGCTGCAAGGAGGAGGAGGAGGAGGCGCCGTTTGGTTTCAACGTTGTTGGGCTCCCTCAAAGGTAATCGGGGCTGCGCGGCTTTGGCGTCGCTGCTGGACCAGTTGAGTATGCCTGTGTATCAGGTGGGCTCAGCTCAGCAGTTTGCTCTCTGCAGCTTGCGCGTTGTTCGTACATGTGGCAGGCTTGTTTAACTGGCCATTCAGGTGAAGCGGGCTGTCAGTCGTCGCCAGTGTCGGGGAGTGGCGATGGACACCGTATCCGCATCCTTCATTTCTATGTCCGGATGATGCATGTTGGCCTATTCTAGACGCTTCGCGTAACCCCACCAGCCGCTCCTACGGGGTTGCTAGGTCGCTTCTCTATGTCTGTCTGACCGAAGGATTCATTGACGCCGAGTTCGACATGCATACCTGAGGAATTGAACGAGGGTTTCTCTCGCCCTTCTTGTCACCGCCGTTCTTGGTAAGTGTGGCGTTCTCTCCGTGGTCGCAGTGAGGTCGCAGTGGGGTCGCCTTCCACTGACCTGCATCGACTTGCTTACCTGGGGAAGCACCATCATCCTTATTGACATCTCAGTGGACGTGACCCCGGTGCCGCTTTGTGGTGCCATCCGCACCATTTTGGCAGCGTTGAGCCCCGTCCTGTTGTGAGCCAGACGCTGCTCGCCTCTTTGTCTTCCTTTAGCTGCGGAGCGCGGCCCGCCCTAGCTTGCTCGGCGTCCGACCCGCTTCGTGCGCCTGCAAACCAAAACGTAACCCCACCAACCCATCCAGAAACGATGCCCAGGCGAGTTGCCTTGATCAGGGATGTGGATGAGCGTGCAGTTGAATAGAGGGCGTGGGAAGCCGCCATGTCCCAAGTGGGGGAGAGTGGAAGAAGGGGCAGGAGAGGGGGAGGAGGGAGGATAGAAGAGGAGAAACAGGCGGATGAGGAAGAGGAGGAGGAGGAAGAGGAGGGGGAGGAGGAGGAACATGAAGAGGAGGAGGAGGAGGAGGAGGAGGAGGAGGAGGAGGAGGAGGAGGAGGGGGAGGAGTAGCTCGAGCAGAAAGGCCAGAGGTTTCTTGGATGCCCCTCGAAGTCCCTTCGGATGTCTCTTGAGAATGTGATGGGATCCTGTTGGGGTGTCTTGGGGGCTTCATGGCGGTCCGAGGCCTCGTGGAGGGTGTTGGGGGGCCTCAGGAGAGCCTCTTGGGGCTCTGTGAGGAGCGTCTGGGGTGCTTCATGGCAGCACTTCGGACCTCATGGGCGCCGCTTGAGGCCCTCTTGGGGCCGTCTTGGGGCACCCTTGGGAGCCAACTTGGGGCCATCTTGGAGGAGCTCGCTCAAAGAAGGGGGGGATACCACGTTCCATTCCCCCACAGGAGGTAGGAACAAGGACACTCTCTAACTCACTCACGCTCTAAAGGGCGGGCGGGACTTTCATCGTTGGCTTGTCCTGCATGGGCTGTCTACCAATATGCGCAATTTTCAGTCGGGCTGCAGTTAGTCATTGGGCGGGGAGTGCCATTGGAGAGTACTTCACCATAACGAGTCTCGCACATCCTCTCCATGCGCCTCCTCCTGAGTGTTCGCCATCATCTTTCTCTTCATTTCAAGCCGCATGGTGGAATCCTCTCGCTGCAACACCGCATCCTCCAGAATCATCATATGTTTTCCCTCTCTTCATCTCCCGCTCGCCATCCCCTTCTTCCTGATCATGTGTTCCTCCTTCTCTTGTTCGTCATCCATCGTCTTGTCCGCAAGACTGTCTTCCGCTAGCGGGTCGGATGCCTTGATTTGTCCTTATCCATGCCGTCATGCGTTGGCCGTGGATTGTGCGTTCTCTTCCCCGTCGGAGGCGCAGCAGCCAGCCCTGACACCTGGAGGATGAGGAGGGAGAAGGATGAGTGGTTGGGAGTTCGAAGAAGAGGAAGACAGAGAACGATGAGGAGGCTGGGAAAGGGAGACTGGGAGGAGGAGGAGGAGGAGGAGGAGGAGGAGGAGGAGGAGGAGGAGGAGCGTGGCCCAGAGCCCAGCGCGTCTATTCGGATGGCTGGTGCTTTGGACCCTGCCCCTTAGATTTCGCTCCGCTCGTTGAATTGTTCGTGCCGCCGTGTCCGACCTTCGCGGACTCCGTTCCCTGGACGAGGTGGATGGCAAGAGTCAAGAGGAAGGAAGAATGAGGAGGAGGAGGACGACGAGGATCAGAGCAAACTCAGAGTACATGAACGATGCCCCCCGCCCCAAGTCCCCGCACCATACGTAAGTCCCTCTTGAAGGCGAGCCCCTGCCTGGTGTGTGGCTGCCTGTCAGGCGAGAACCTATTTCGTGAACGACCCACCCTCCATCCTTCTAGCCAGAAGTCGACCCAAAGAGGTAGGATGAGTCTGGCAAAGGTCGTATGTGGATATATCTCTATTGTGGGAAAGCTACCCCTCCATCCCTGTAAATGTTAAGTTGGTGGAGGCCGCCAGAGGGCGCTTCCGCCCAGTCCCATTGGTGTCATGGGTGCGCCCAGCGATCCGCTGAGGCCTCCAGGGGCCTTGGCATGGCTCTTCGAAGAGGACCACGCCCACCCCATCCAGCTGCGCGGTCCCGGTTCGTAGACTTTCGCCCCACGCCCATTTTGGCCTCCCCCTGTCTCATTACGGATCTTTGTTTGCTTGTGTATTTTTAGGTGTGTACACATAGCTTATACATACACATATGTATATACACATACGTGTATGCATAGGCCAGCGGTTGGATAGGTGCATCCCCCAGCAAGGGTTAGTAGAGCGGGGCGGAAGAGAAGGCACCTCGTGACAAGCGCAAGGAGAGGGAGGAGGAAGAGAAGGAGGAGGATGAGAATAACGAAGAGAAAGAGGAAGAGTAGGAGGATGAGAGGAGGAGGTTCAGCACATGGTCAGGACCAATTGTGTAAAGGCGAGGGGCCGTAGTGGGAGACGTATCTTATCACACGCGGGATACACGTCGAGGGATTCGTCCTCTCCATGATCGTCATTTTTCCTAATGATTATGCCTCGCTTTGCACGGTCTGCGCGCGGCTGGTGTCCATGTTTCGAGGAAGGAAGCGACATGAGCATACATTGTCGGAGTTCAGCGTGGATTTCCTGGGCCGAAGCTGGACCCCCCTCCCTGGCGCGCGGAGCGCGCCAGGGGCGGCGCCAGAGGCGCCGCTGGGGGGGCCCATCGCCGATCCCAGAAATGTTCGTGGAATGCTGCTCTCGGGGAATCGGTCCTCTCCGCCAATTGTCTTCATTCTTCCGCCTTGCCCCTCCTCGCCTTGCAGGGTGTGCGCGCGGCTGGTGACCATGCTGCTCTGATCTCCACATCGCCTCGGCTCTGGCCGCAGTGCCGCTCCCCGCTCCCTCGGCCGCCGCTCTGCTCCCCCAATGTGTGCGGATCTGCGGAGCAGTCTGCGACGGCAGCTCAAAGGGGTTGGTCGAGCTTGCGCCTTGGCCGAAGCGGCCGAAGCCCAAGCGGCTTCTCAGAAGGCGCGGGGGCTTCTGAGAGGTCCCACGGCCTCCTCGGGAGAAGGCATGCCCCCTCTCCCTTCCTCCCTGGGGCTCATCGCCGAGTCGGGGCATCGGCACCGCCGCCTGGAGAGAGGTGAAGCTGTTCAAGAACCACGTGGGTGACGAGGGCGCGGGCCACATCGCAGGCGCGATTGGGGGTCGCAGGGCTCACATGGATGCCCCCGACTCGATTCGAGTCAATTTCGACCGATTCCGATTCGAATCGATTTCGGAGTACGAGTTGGGTTGCGGTTTCTCGGCGGAGGCCTTACTAGCCTGCCGATGTCCGCCGATGCGACTTCTCCCAACTGATCTACTGATTTCCGCCGATCCGATTCGACGTACCCGCCGGTCGTTAAAAGTAGGTTTTCTTGGATCCCCGGATCCAAATCTACTTCAAGCGCCTTCCAACTTCAAGAATCGATATGTGCTTGCTGTGTGTTGTATTTCCCTGGGGGGGGGCCTGCAGGGGTCATTCCGATTCCGCCGGTTCGATTCGAATCGAATTCCGCGATTCCGATTTCGAACCGACTCGATTCCGGGATTCCGATTCGCGATTTCGATTTCGAGTTCGCCCGATCCGGCTTTTGCCGATTCGATACGTCAGCCGATTCCTGCCGGCTTTTGCCGATCCGGCTTCGCTCCGGCTCTGGCCCCCAAGGGGAGGAGGAGGAGGAGGGGGGAGTCCAAAAACCCCAGGGGGGGGGTTCCAAAAGCCCCGAGACACCAATCCCCCCCCCACGGGGGGGGGTCCAAAAGCCCCGGGACCCCCCCCCCCAGGGGAGGGTCTTCCAAAAGTCCCGGGACCCAAACCCCCCAGGGGGGGTTTTCCAAAAGCCCCGGGACCCCAAACCCCTCCCAGGGGTGGGTTTTCCAAAAGTTCTGGGACCCCAGATCCCCCCCAGGGGGGGGGTCCAAAAGCTCCGGGACCCCAACCCCCCCCCCAGGGGGGACCCCAAACCCGCCCCAGGGGGAAGTCCAAAAACGCAAACTCCCCCAGGGGGGGGGTCCAACCCCCCCCCCCACCAGGGGGGGTTCCAACCCCCCCCCCCCCCCCCAGGATGGGGTTCCAAAAACCCAAACCCCCCCCAGGGGGGGGGTCCGATTTCGATTCCGATCCGGCTTGACGCGGTCCGGTTTCCGACTCGATCCGGCTCGGACCTGCCGACTTCAGCCGATTTCGATTTGGCTGCCGGCTTTTGCCGATTTCTGCCGATTCGATGCTCCGGTCGACCCGATCCGGCTTATCGATTCGATGTTGGGGCTGCCTGGGCCTGAAACCAATCTACTTGATCCGCCTTCCTACCTCATGTTTTGCCTAACTACTTCTTCGACCGACTTGTGTCCATCCGATCCTGGGCTCTTCTGGGGGCCTGTGACAGATCCGCCCCCCTGCCGCTGCTGCGGCGATCTGGTTTAGCACGTCGCTCCGCTGGTGCTGGCCCACCACGCTTCGGCATTTTTGTTTTATTTTTTTCTGCGTCGCAGCGCGACAGAAGCAGTCCGCACGCGCGCTCGGGCAGGCTGGAAAGCGGCATCGCTGATTGTCCAGCAGCCAGAGTGGAGTAAAGGCCTGGGCAGGGGGGAGGAGGCGAGCGCTCACGCGGCAGGTTCCACTGCGGAGCGGCCAGGGCGACCAGCCGGTGCTGCACCCGGTTCGGCGCGACACGCTATGCGAGCCTCTAGGCTTCAATGCCCAGGGCACTCCCGAGTCTTCCACCTCGCGGAGCGGAGCGACATGCTGTCCGCTTGCAGGGCAAAGTGTGTCGCCAGGGCCGCCGCGGCGGATGGCTAAGCAAGAGCTCCCGACCGTGTCTCCATCGGATCCCTGCGCAATGTACCGTGCACAGCGTGGCGTTTGGTGCGAATGGCGTCCTCAGGGTTTCTTGCGTCGGTCCTTCCACATTGATTACAGCAAACTGTGGTTGCCCAGGCGCGGTTGCGGTGGCGCGAAGAGGTGCTGAAACCCACCCTTTCATTATTTAGCGCGTTCCCTCGGCTATCAGTTAACAATACGATTACCTATTATTATTCATCCTCTGTATCCTCTTTCCTCCCTTCTTGCTCATCCCTCCTCTCCTCCGCACTCACCCCGCATCCTTCTCGTCCTTTTATTTCATTCGCCTCGCCTTCGTCCTGGTCCTCCTCTTCGCTGCCAGCAGAGACACGAGTTTTCGGCAGCCTCCACGTCGGAGCGCAAGAGAGCTCACAGGCAGGGTGGAGGGACGTCTAAAAGATCTGTGACTCTTAGGGCGAGGGCGAGAAAGGTGAGGAGGACTAGGAGGCGGCGGACGGGCTGGAGAAGTGCGAGGAGGTTCAGGAGAAAGAGGACGAGGAGCAGGGGAAGGAGGACGAGGATGAGGAATGGCAGGAGGAAGTGTGAGGCCTTCTTTGCCAGCGTTGCAGCTGGAAGAGGAGGGGGGCATCCCATTCCTCGAAGAAGAATGCAATACGTAAACATACTTGTTACAGAAGTCGACGCTGGGCCCCTCTGGCGGCGCTGGCGCCGCCAAGTACGCGCTCCGTGCGTCAAGGAGGAGGTCCAGCGCCGATCCAGGAAATCCGCGCGAGTCTCCAGCACCATATGTTCATGCAGTTTGCGCTTCTTCTACTCCCCTTGTGGTCTCCGGAGCCGCCTCTCTGCTGCGTCACCAGGGTTCCTCCTGACGAATCGCATGCACGAGCTGCACCTCAGCCACAACAGCATCACTCCCATTGGCGCGCAGAAGCTGCTCGGGACCACCCGCAGGAGGAAAAGGAGGGGAAGGAGAAGTTGGCTTGCAGAATTTTCGAGCTATCGAATGTGAGTTGAGGAGTACGAGTATAAGTATGGCCGTGTGGCTATGCCAATGCCTATGTGCAACGACAGGGTAAACTATACGAGCATCATGAATGACGTATGTTTGCGTCGGGATGCTTGCACAGCTTTTCTCAGGACCTTTGTCCAGAGCCATCGAGAGATAAGTTCTATGTACTCAGCTCCTGAGGATGTGGGTCTAAGCTTGCAGACCTGCCCAAATGAGTTGATTGGCCCCGAGAAACCGCAGTCACGACGGTGCCAGAGCTTCAGGGCACCATGATACTGCATGCCATGAGATGCATCCACGATTCCCTGTGCCATGTGCGGCAGGTCTCGGGGTGGCGTAGACCATATGACTCCATTATGATGGATGGGGTCAAAACATGGGGCAAGCCTCCTCCGGACCATATTGGCTTTTGAGGCCGAGCCTTCACACCTTCAACACCCTCGCCCCTTGTCATTTGTGCAGTGCGAGGTGGAGAAAAGTGAAAGCGCGGCAGCAGAAGGAGGAACCACGATGGATGATGATGATGATGCTGATGCTGACGATGCTGATGATGATGATGATGATGATGATGATGATGATGATGGTGCTGCTGCTGCTGCTGCTGACGATGCTGATGATGATGATGATAATGATGATGATGGTGATGATGATGATGATGATGATGGTGATAGTGATGGTGATGATGATGATGATGATGATGATGATGATGATGATGATGATGATGATGATGATGATGATGATGATGATGATGATGATGGCGATGGTGATGGTGATGGTGATGGTGATGGTGATGGTGATGGTGATGGTGATGGTGATGGTGATGATGATGGTGATGGTGATGATGATGGTGGTGATGGTGATGATGGTGATGATGATGGCTTTTCCGGCTCATCCGCCTGTTCGGCAGCCATCGAGTCGCGTGTCGCACGGAGAATCCTCAATCGGACGAGTCGCGCGCGCGGCTCCTGAAGCAGATTCTGCTGGCGAACGGGGGGTCTGAAGACTGGCCTCCTGGCCCTCCAAGGCAGCAACATCATCAACAACGTGAGTACCCACGACCATCCAGCTGCCGCACCACATCCTCCCCCGTCAGGTGGGAACTCGCGACAAGCGCGGTGATGCTGCGCGACGTGCCAGCCAGCATCTGGCCAAGACGAGTCCAGAAGTCCTGATCTTGGCCGCCAGACGCCATCCACGCACAACGCTTGCGGTGCACTATGCTGCTAGCCACAGGGCCCTGAGCTCTCCCCGCGCCACCATTTTGCCTGGTCCCCGAGAGGGGGCCCACAAATGGTAGCACAGATATCCTCACCGGGCTCGAGCCAAGCCCGACGCCAACGCGTCGGAAGGTCGGCAGACGGGTATCCTCCCCCCGCTTGGCATCGCCAGAGGCCAGCAGAGGTGTCGGCCCAGTGCCTGCCGCGAGGCAGGCGACACTGACGTCGTCTTTCATGGCGGACGCCCAGCACTCGACCCGATGCGGTGGCGGTACGGCTGTCCACGGTTGGGGTAAAAACCATCTAATCCAGAAATGTTTCACGGTTGCCTATCCAGAAAGTTGCGTCCGATTCTTGTTGAGCAATCGCCTGTGGCACGCGGGCTGTTAAGTTGTCGTGGGTTGTTCGCATTTTTCTGCTCCTCCTCGTTCTTCTCGGCGGTCCCCTCGGCTTTGAGCGTTCGAGGCCCCCCCGTCGCCACGGCAAGACGCGTTTCGAACATGTGGCTACTGGCTAGCATGGACCCCGCCAGGAGGAGGCCAGAGACCGGTTTTCTGCAGCTGTTGGTGGGGGGGGGGGGGGCGGGGCGAGGAGGCGGTATTCTTTCCCCATGGTCGTTCAACGCGCCCTTTCCACATCCCACTCACCCTTCTCCCTCCTGCTCCTTTAGAGTTGCGCTCGTCTCCCTCCTGCTCCTTTGGACTTGCTCTCTGATCATGTCGGACGTCTCGGTGACGGAGTTTCGAGATGTTAGCGGTACTGCTTTAGACTTTCTTGGAGTTGGCCTTCGCGTTTCAGATGGTTAGGCTTACGGCACCCCAAAGACTCCTTGTGTGACCAGCGGTTGTGGCGTGGTTCTCCTGAGTGCTTCTTGGGCACCTATGCGGTGGCACGTTGGGACCGTCGTGGCGCGGTCGTGGCATTGCCCGGGGCTGAAAGAAGCGTTTGATAGCAGAACAAGTAAGAACACAGAACACGTTTTCAACCCGTGTGACGATGACGGAGTTGGCCCCTGGAAGCCTCTTGGGAAGTTCAGTGGGGTTTTCGTCGAGTGTTTTCGGGGCTTTAGGGGCCGTCTTAAAGCTTGGAGCGAGATGTGGGGCGTGTCGGGGCCTCTTGGACAGTGTACCGCGTGCTCGCGAAGGAGTGCCCCGGGCCCACCCGCAACCGCGGCGCCGCCCGCACCGTCAGTAGTGATTTCTGCGACTGACCTTCTCAGTGTTCGCCGTGCGCGCATGGGGAACATGGCGAGAACCCACGTTTACAGAGAGCGGGTATCTGTCAAAGTACATTTTGGAGCCGTCGTGGGCGTCTTGGAGCGAAATGTGGGGCGTGCCGGGGCCTCCTGGACAGTGTGCCGCGTGCTCGCGAAAGATTTCCGCTTGGGCCCCCGGCAATCGCGGCGCTGCCCGCACCGCCAATAGTGATTTCTGCGGTTGGCGTTCTCAGTGTTCGCCGTGCACGCATGGGCAAACGGACGAAAACCCACCTTCACAGACGGCGGGCCTTTGTCAACATACTTTTTGAGCCGTCGTGGGCGTCTTGGAGCGAAATGCGGGGCGTGTCGGGGCCTGCTTGGGGTGGGACAGGGTGTTCAGAGATGTGGAGCATTTGTTGGCGAGGGTTGTTCACGACGCTGTCGAGAGGGGCTTCTCGTGGGCCAAGGGGCGGCAGTTCGGAGTTTTCGGAGGTTGCTTGAAATTCCTTTTGGACCTCATTAGCAGTGTTCGCCGTGCACGCATGGGGAAATGGGTGGGACACCACGTTTACACAGACCCGGTATCCGGCAACGTAGTTTTGGGAGCCGTCGTGGCGTCTTGGAGCGAGGTATGGAGCGTGCCAGGGCCCTTTGGACAGTGTACCGCGCGCTCGCGAAGGATTTCCGCTCGGGCCCCCGTGCAATCGAGGCACCGCCCGCATCGCCAATAGTGATTTCCGCGGTTGACTTTCTCAGTGTTCGCCGTGCACGCTTCGGGAAACGGACGGGCCCCCACCTTCGCTGACGACGGGCATATGTCGAAATACTTTTTGAGCCGTCGTGGGCGTCTTGGAACGAGATGCGGGGCGTGTCGGGGCTCGCTTGGGGTGGGGCAGGGTGTTCAGAAATGTGGAGCATTTGTTGGCGAGGGCTCTTCACGATGCTGACGAGGGGGTCTTCCAGAGGGCCAGGGGGCGGCAGTTCGGAGCCGTACGGAAGTTGTGTGGACTTCTTTTTGGACCTCATTGTCAGTGTTCGCCGTGGACGCACGGGGAAATGGGTGAAACCCGCGTCTACAGAGCGGGTATCTGGCAAAGTGCATTTGGGAGCCGCCGTGGGCGTTTTGGAGCGAGGTATGGGGCGTGTCGGGACCTGTTGGACAGTGTGCCGCGCGCTCGCGAAGGATTTCCCCGGCCCCCCTGCAATCGCGGCGCCGCCCGCACCGTCAATGTGATTTCAGCGGTTGACTTTTCCAGTGTTCGCCGTGCACGCATGGGCAAACGGACGAGGACCCACCTTCACAGACGGCAGGCATATGTCAAAAACGCTTGTGGAGCCGTCGTGGGCATCCTGGAACGAGATGCGGGGCATGTCGGGGCCCGCTTTGGGTGGGACAGGGTGTTCAGAGATGTGGAACATTTGTTGGCGAGGGCTCTTCACGATGCTGTGGAGTGGGGCCTCTCGAGGCCCAGGAGGCGGCACTTCGGAGCCCTACGGAGGTTGTTTGAAATTCTTTTTGGACCTCATTATCAGTGTTCGCCGTGTACGCATTGGGAAATGGGTGAGAACCCACGCTTGCACACAGCGAGTATCTGTCAAAATACATTTTGGAGCTGTCGTGGGCGTCTTGGAACGATATGGGGGGGTGTCGGGGCCCTCTTGGACAGTGTGCCGCGGGCTCGCCAAGGATTTCCCCGGGCCCCCGTACCATCGCGGCACCGCCCGCACCGGTCATGGTGATGTTTGCGGTTGACATTCTCAGTATTGTCCGTGCGCGCCCGTGGAAACGGACGAGAACCCACGTTTACATACGGCGGGAATATGTCAAGACACGTTTTGGAGCCGTCGTGGGCGTCTTGGAGCGAGGTGTGGGGCGTGCCATGGCCCCGTTGGAGGGGAAATGGGAATTCAGAGATGTGGAAGTTGGTTGGCGAAAGTTGTCCACAATGCTATCGAGGGGATCCTGTCGAGGGCCAGGAGGCGGTAGTTCGAAATCTTACGGAGGTTGTTTGAAGTTTCTCGGCGAACACCACAACATAAAATTCTGACAGCATCTCACTGCCTAGTTTGCCTCCAGCAGCACCGCGATCTACTGCAGATCCTGGGCCAGGATTGGCGCTGCGCAGGGCGCTACTGCGTAACGGTCATCACGAGTTGTTTCTCACGGAGTTGCAGAGGTGGCGTCCACTGTTGTACCACGAGGCTACATCCGCTCTGCAGCAGTGGGATCATACTTCAACCCAGCTTGCGACACAATTACGGCACTTAGCAGAGCAGAGGCGCCGTGCGGAATTTGACGAGGCGAGCGTATTGATCCTAGATGTGCAACTCGTGGCTTTGCGTGTATCGTCGAAGTTTGGAGCCAGGGACTTAGGTCGTGCGACGTGTTGGCCAATTGTGATAAGTTTTGTCCTTGGCATTGATCCTCTTAACCATATCGTATCCGTTTGGCCTGTATTGCGGCTGATTTCTCCGCCGTCGTCAGATATCCACTGTCAGTGGACCGCGCGCGTGTGGATTCCGATGGCGCGCCGCGTACCGTGGGTGCCTCCAGCGGCCGGGTACTAGCGCAATCAGAGCCATCAGTCAAGCGGCCCGCGGCAAGTCTTGCCGCTTTGCCAGCCCAACATGGTCGAGACGAAGCTGGCGCCCGCTACCATCATCCACAGTATTGGTACTCCAGATTTCGTAATAAAGGGAGGGGGGTCTCATTTCGGGGGGGGTCTTTTCCAAGCTATCTTGGAGGGCCTGGGGGGGTCTGGGGACGATGTTTTGGAGGGTTCTCCCACCAGGGGGGGGGTCCTGAAATGGCTTGTCTTGGAGGGTCCAGACCCCCTCCCTTTTATTACGAAATCTGGAGTACCGTGCTGGGAGGAGCGTTGGCGAGAAAAGTCAGCAGCGGCAGAGAGCCCTGTCGCTGCGCAGCCGCATGGTCGAAACGAAGTTTGTGCCGGATGCCCTCATCGACATAGTCGGGATGAGCGCTTGCAAGAAGGGTCAGCAGTAGCAGCGGGCCCTGTCGCTGCTCAGCGTCGTGGTCGAGACGAAGCTGGAGCCCGATACCATCATCCGCAACGCTGGGATCAGCGCGTGCGAGAAAGGTCGGACGCCGCAGCAGGCCCTGTCGCTGCTCGGCGAGATGGTCAAGACAAAGCTGGAGCCCACTGTCATCAGCTACCGTGCTTGGATAAGCGCTTGCGAGAAAGGCCAGCAGTGGCAGCGGGCCCTGTCGCTGCTCAGCGAGATGGTCGAGACGAAGCTGAAGCCCGCTGCCATCAGCTACAACGCTTGGATCAGCCCATGCGGGAAAGGTCAGCAGTGGCAGCGGGCCCTGTCCCTGCTCAGCTGGATAGTCGAGACGAAACTTGATCCCGATACCATCATCTACAATGCTTGGATCAGTGCTTGTGGAGAGGTCAGCAGTAGCAGCAGGCCCTGTCGCTGCTCAGCGAGATGTTCGAGACGAAGATGGATCCCATTTTCATCAGCTATCGTGCTGGGCTGAGCGCTTGCGAGAAAGGTCAACAGTGGCAGGACTTGGAGGGTGACCTTTCGCTTCCTGGCTAAACCAAGTCATACCCCGCGCCTCCACGTCACGCAATTCGACCGTTGCAGGCTGCCCCACGAAAGTAGTCACACATTGGACCATTTTAGCCGTATTGGATGCCACCTTTGCGTCCAGAGATGCGCAGGGCCACGCGAGGATTGTTTCCTGAGGCATCCGAGTGCTGCCAGGCCTCCCTGTCCGGGGGGATCCTACGCAGAAAGCCCCTTGGCCTTAGCACCTTTTCGTCCAGACCCAGCTGCCTAGGCCATTGCCCCGCCGTCTCCGGCTGATCAGTGCGCCCTGGTCCGCTGGGAGTCGGGGAGGATTGAGGTCGTAGCGGCTGGTCGGGGGTCGGGGCTTGGAGCGGATCCGGATGGTCTGATTGCGGCTTGCCTTGTTCGGACATGCTGGTTGATCCCAGGGCGGATCCTTTTTCAAGTTCCCTTTCCGCATCCACATGTGCCGCGCTTGGGGCACTCCAGGTGCAAGGCGGGTCGCTTCCATTCCTCCTGCTGTTCTCGGAGGGAGCTGGGGGGGGGGGGGCGGGGCCCGCACTTCCACCAGAGCTGCCTACCACAGGGTGCGGATGTCGGAGCCGAATGAGGTCATGGCGCGGCTGTTCCGCCTCCCGGCTGCCCTCGTGTTGCTGCGCCTGCAGCCCCCAAAGATCGCCCACAGTGGCCACCCACCAACCTGGCTCTGCCCCAGTCCTCCCCTGGGCCCTCCCCCTGGCCCCTCTCCTAGAGGAAAGAGAACTATGCACATACACCGATTCTGGCCAGGCCCATCCTGAGCCCAGGATCGGTGCATACGCCCTCCTACCTTGGCCAGGAATGTATATGCACCGATCTTGGATCAAGGATGGGCCTTCCCAGGGTCGGTGCATGTGCATAGTTCTCTTCGCCCGACTCTCCCCGGGGCTGTCCCCCTGGCATCGGGCCCCTTTTTAGTTTCGTGCCCGCTCGTCCGCCCACCAGGCTTCGCCCAGGCCCTCCCTGGGCCCTGGGCCATCCCAGGCCCGTGTATGTTTGTGGTCACGCTCACTTCTGTGGCCCCGAGTCTTCCCGAGGTCCTCACCCCTGGCCCAGGGCCCTTTTCACCTCTTGCACAGCTGTGGTGTTGAGCTCCGACCTTTTTTTTTCTACGTGGTTCGTCCCTGGCCTCCCAGGCCTGCTGCCCCCCTGTGCCGGGAAAAGAGACGAAGAGACACATGTAGTGAAACAGGGCGGGCAATCAAGATGAGCACTGAGATTCTGGGACCAGCGCCAAAGCAACCGACGCGCAGGCCCAAGCCAATCGACGCGCAAGGCCAAAACCCACACGCGCAAGGCCAACACAAAAACTCCACAGGCCAAAATTACCCTGCGACGTACCAGCCCACGTGCATCAAATGGCAAGAGGAGTATGCCAACATTAGCAGGAACAGCGACAGTGTAGACGCGGCGATTTGCTGTGCAAGCTACATGGGATGCGCATGCGTTGCACGATTCACAGGACGACGATCGAAAGAACGAGGCTTGAGGCCCCAGGATCGAAGAAGAACGGGTACGGGAACGAGGGGTAGGAGAGGGATGGAATGGAGGGCGGGGGGGGCGAAAGGCCATCGCGGAAGCAGCAGCATGCATGGAGAAGGTGAGGCGGGGAATAGGACGACGATGAAAGTGGCGGGAGGAGACAGAAGACTGCCGCGTTTTTCAAGTGCGAGCTAAACCCGCAGCGCTGCCTGCGCCATGTCGTCGCAGAGTTCCACATGATAAAACTTGTTTAGAGTGCAAGGAACGAGCGAGGCGTAGCTCGCCCGCTAGCTTCTCCGCCTCCTTCCCGCGCATTTCAGCGCGGGAGCTGAACGCTCGCAGGCGCGCCGCCAGGTCTGCGGGCGGCCCGCGGGAAAGAAACTCAAGGCCGGGGTCGCGTATCATCAATCGGTTGTCCATCGTCCAAAGTTGCACTGGCGACGTACTGGTTGAACGCGGAGCGAGCAGCATCACGCGCGTGCCTGAACGCCACGCAGGTACAGTGCACGCGCGATTGGGACTTCAGGTCGATCACGCGCGTCTCCACCAGGCTTGGCAACACCACGCGACTGAGGATCTCACTGCGGTCTGCCATGCTGCTGTCCGCGAATGCAATGCGCTGCCTGCAAGTAAGGCGGCGGCGTCCACTTGTCTCAGAAGATGTTCCCGCGGGCCCGAAGGGCGACCGCCAGCTCGAGCCGCGGCGCCGGCAGGCCAGATAAGGATCATGCAACAGCAAAGACGATGACAGAGCAACGAGGTATCGGCGAGTGCATGACCGGCCTCCGTTTCCTGCACTTCTTTCCTGTAGTTCCCCTAGCTCATCGAGCTCAGCAGATGTTTCTGCGGGTCCGAAGGACGACCGCCAGCTCGAGTCGCAGCGCCACGTGGCACGAACCGCAGAGCAAGGGCACGCGAGCATTGCTCGTGGTCAGAATCTGAGTCCCCGTGGTGCCTCACTCCGCTGGCCACCCACCAGCAGCCCTCGAAAGTGGCGACAGTTTCACAGATCGCAGCCGCCCAGGGGTGGCGAGGTCTAATCTGAGTCCCCGTGGTGCCTCACTCCGCTGGACCCACCAGCAGCCTCGAAAGTGGCGACAGTTTCACACAGGGATGGCGAGGTCTAATCTGAGTCCCCGTGGTGCCTCACTCCGCTGGACCCACCAGCAGCCCTCGAAAGTGGCGACAGTTTCACAGATCGCAGCCCCCCAGAGATGGCGAGGTCTAATCTGAGTCCCCGTGGTGCCTCACTCCGCTGGACCCACCAGCAGCCCTCGAAAGTGGCGACAGTTTCACAGATCGCAGCCCCCCAGAGATGGCGAGGTCTAATCTGAGTCCCCGTGGTGCCTCACTCCGCTGGACCCACCAGCAGCCCTCGAAAGTGGTGACAGTTTCACAGATCGCAGCCCCCCCCCCCAGAGATGGCGAGGTCTAATCTGAGTCCCCGTGGTGCCTCACTCCGCTGGACCCACCAGCAGCCCTCGAAAGTGGCGACAGTTTCACAGATCGCAGCCCCCCCCCCAGGGATGGCGAGGTCTAATCTGAGTCCCCGTGGTGCCTCACTCCGCTGGACCCACCAGCAGCCTTCGAAAGTGGTGACAGTTCCGCAGATCGCAGCCCGCCAGGGATGACGTGAAAGGCAAGAGAAGAGAAGAGGAGGAGCGAAGAGAGGAGGAGAAGGCAAGCAAAAGAGGAGAGGAGAAGTGAAGAGAGGGGGGGGGCGGGAGGAGGAGAACGGAGACCGCAGTGCTCTATTCAAAACGAGTACCCAACGCAGGAGGGTTGGGAAATATCGTTTTGGCCCGTGGAGTTTTTTTTCGGCCTTGCGCGTTGCATCCGCAGGTCATGGGGCCGCGCTCTACTGCTCATGCCGCCCCCAAGCGTCGGCGGACACCTGAGAGGGGCGAGGGGAGTGACGAAAGGCTATTTCGAATGGATCAACAAGACGTTACCCGCGGGTGGATAAGCAATTCGGCAGGAGGAGGAGGAGGAGGAGGAGGAGGAGGAGGAGGAGGAGGAGGAGGAGGAGGAAAAGGAGGAGGAGGACAATGTGGCAGTGGTGAGCACAGGAAGATGAGGTGGATGGGGAGGAGGATGGCAGGAGCAGGAGGCGGCGGCGTCGGCGGTGGGAGCAAGAGCTATGATTCCTCTCGCTTCGCGGGGCGCACGTCCGGAGCACGTAAAGTCCAGTCATTGCAGGGCCTCTTGGGAGCTTCTTTGTGGCCTCTTGGAGGTGTCTTGGGGGCTTATTGGGCCTCTTCTGCACTGGGTTTCTTTGGGGCGTCTTGGGCCGTCTTGGGACGCTCTTGCGGCGCATGGCCCACTCGGAGTCTGGTCTGGTGGCTTCTCGCGGCCGTTTTGGGGCTTTCTTGGGGTCCTCTTGAATTGGGCCGTCTTAGGGCCCGTTTGGTCCGTCATGGAGGCCTTTTGAGGGCTTCGTGGGCCGTCTTGGGACCATTTTGGAAGCTATTTGGGCCGTCATTGGCCTTTGCGCCGGGTTTTAGAATGCGCGCGGAACCCGGCAGTGTTTATGCGAGAACGGCGCACAGCTCCCAGCGTGACAAAGCAGTTTTGCTCTGCCCCGCTTGCTGGCTGGCAGAGTAGGCGCCGCGCAGCCGATCCAGACTGGTAATCGCCGCCGTGGAAAAGTTCTCAACTGTGGAAGGTGTGGGCGTTGGTTGGCGTGACCTGCTCGGCTGCCGCGCGTGCGTGCCGCTCCGTCCTGCAATCCCCAGGGCTTCTGGGCGACCTCATGGAGGGCTCGTGGGAGCCTCTTGAAAGCCTCGTGGGGTTTTTTTTGGAGCGTCTTTGGGGCCGCTTTGGGACCTCTCGAGGCTTCTTGTTGACGTCTTGCGCCGGCTTGGGGCGCTCTTTTGCCGTCTGGCCCCTTCGGAGCCCATCTTGGAGGCCTTTCGCGGCCGCCTGAGGGCTTTCTTGGAGTCCTCTTAGGGGCCCCTTGGACCGTCTTGGGGGCCTCTTCTGGCCGTCTCGGGGCCCTCGTGAGCAATCCTGAGGCCCCTTTGTGGGCCTCTTTGGCCGTCTTGGAATCTTCTTAGAGGCTGCTTGGGCCGTCATGGTCCTTTGAGAGTCGAAACAGGCGAGAACGCGAAAACGCTTCGAAAACCAACGAAAAATCAATGATTTTGGCTCCTGGGGGCGCTGCGCTCTTTCGAGTCCTCTTGATTTGTCATTAGTTTTTGTAGGCGTGGGACGATATTGGAGTCCTTTTGCGCCATCTTGGACGTTGTGAAAGCCCCAGAGGCGAATTGGCAAAAATCACACGGTTCCCCAAGGGAATGGGACGATTTTTGCTTCTGGGGGCCCTCTTGGGGCGCCTCTTGGGGCGTTTCGGGGGCCTCTTGGGCCGTTAGGCGTTTTGGAATGATCCATCGGCGACTCGGGGCCCTCTTGGACCATCTTGTAGGCCTCTTTGGGCCATCATGGCCCGTCGTGAGGCCCGTGACGCGTTCGGCCGTGGCCAGCCGGACCCCCCCCCCCTCTCCAAACCGACCGCACCGGGCCCCGGGGGGAGGAGTTTGGGGAGGGGGAAGCATCTCACACGCCGATGACCCCAAGGGGTCGGCGGATTGGTTCTCTTCGGTAGCAGCAGGACTGCCATTCGGATCGCAATGTCCTCCTCGATATATAGAGTCGACGTCATAAACCGAACTGGTTTCGACAACACGGTGGACAGAAGCCGTACCCAGTTTGGGATCAAGCAGCTTCTTTAAACCATTTCAATCACCATTTCAATCATTTCAACCAGGGCAAATCGCAGCCAGAAGCGTGATGCGATTACTCCTGCTTTGCAGCTTTGTGCTCGGTGTGGCGGTCGCTGACTGGAGGAACGTCGTCTTTGACAGCCCCACTGCCGAGCCAGGCGAGAACCGGGCGAAGCAGCCGATCATCAGCGGGGGCATGCCGATCGGCAATGGCGAGACGGCGGCCCTGGTTTTCCCAGTGACTAAGGCCTTGGCATCGCTCGGACGTGTGCATTTTTCTTCGCGTGGACTACCGAGGAGCATCCTGGACCATCTTGCGAAACAAAAACGCACGACATGAAAAAATGTACAAGGAATGGACGCCCGAGCGACGGCAAGAGGCGTTCAACGCCACGCCCGACTTCGGCTTGCGCGAGGGCGTGCACGTTTGGGTCAGCATGGCGACTGCGATGGCATCGGACCAGTCCCTGATGTCCCTGGGCGTCGTCAGCATCGAGACAGATCCGCCGCTCGGCGTCAGAGAGTTCAGGCAGGCCTTGATGCTTGAGAACGGCACGGTTGAGATTTCTACAGCGGTGGGCACCGTAACATCCTGGGTGGATGCTCTGACCAATCGAGTAGTGGTGAGCGTGCGAGGCAGCGGTGACGGGAAGATGAGCACCCGCGTCAGCGTCCAGTCCCTGCGCCCCAACACCCGGTTCACATACAACGGCCGCTGCAGCAGCCCGACGTCCGCTGCCGACGAGTGGGTGCAGCCAGCTGGTGCCCACGTCATCGGCCTGTCACACCGCAATGATGACAGCGACGTTGCTTTGCTGAACAAAGCGGCCGCGTTCAACGCCACCCTGGAGCAGCAGGGCTTGGGTGCCTTCGCGGGCCGGCTCCAGGGCTCGGATCACTGGCGGCACCTCCAATTTGGGCTCGTCGTCTCCGGCGACGGCTTGACAAAGCATGGGGGAGCGAGCGGTGTTCTGCACACGAGCGAGGCGCTCAACTCCCTCGAGGTCGTGATCACCACCCTGTCAGAGCAGACGGCCAGCTCAGTCTTGTGGCAAGAGGACATCGTCGCGCTGCACGGCAGACACGTTGCATCATTTGCTCAGGCATGGGGGCCGCACCAGGATTACTGGAGACGCTTCTGGAATCAGTCGCACATCTGGGTGTCGGGCAACGGCAACGCCAGCCTCCAAACGCTCACTGAGCGCTATGCACAGACCCGCTACCTTCAGGCCATCCAAGCAGGCACATGGGTTCCCATCAAGTTTAACGGGATGCTTTTCACGGCGCAGTTGCCCCCAATGTCTGAGATTGGAGGCCCCGACTTTCGAAAGTGGGGCAGCTCGAACTGGTGGCAGAACACGCGCCTGGCGTACTGGAACATGTTAGCTTCCGGTGATTTCGATCTGCTGCGCAACATCTTCGAGTACTATCTTCAGATGATCGACTTCATGAACATCCGCACGCAGGCGGCCTTCAATCATACCGGCATCTACACGACAGAGACGTCGACGTTGTTCGGGGCCTACGATCCGTGCGACTATGGCACACCGGCAGCCCAGCGCCATCCCGACGAGCTCAACTTCGGCTACGAGGAATCCAGATTTCTGAAGTACGATTTCGGAGGCGACGCTGGGCTCACGGAGTTGTGCGCCATGCTGCTGGATTTCTACGCGAGCGCGCTGGATGCAAGCAGCATGCGGCGCTACATGCCGCTGCTGGCCGGCACTCTGGACTTCTTCAGCAGGCACTACGGAGATGTCATGCAGACCAAGTCATTGAAGATCTTCCCGACTCAAGGGCTAGAGACATACCAGTGCCCGATAGAGCCAGCGACTCCCGAGAACTGCCCGACGAACGACCACCCCACAGTGGCCGCCTTACACGTGCTGACCGAGCGGGCCCTTGAGCTGCCAGCAGAGCTCTCTACCGAGGCGCAGAGGGCACGATGGCAGGCACTGCGCGCGGCGCTGCCTCCGGTCCCGATGATCGAGGAGGATGGCGTGATTGTAGTCTCTCCGTATGAGACCTACCCGAAGGCCAAGAACGAGTTCAATTGTGAGACGCCAGAGCTCTATTCAACGCACCCGTTTCGCTACTTCACGCTGGCCCGCTCGAAGCTCTCAGGGCCTCGCCAGCGTGACATAGGTCCATCGATCTACTGCCTGGAGGAGTCGACGCGCAGGACCTGCCGTAATGCTGATCTCAACGTCGGTTGGACGCAGGGGCTCCTGAATGCCGCTCTGCTGGGCCGCACGAGCAAGGCGGCACGCTTGACGCTGGAGCGTGCGCTCGTGAAGCCAGCAGTGGGTTACCGGTTCCCAGCCTTTGCCGGGCATTACCAGGACTACGAGCCTTCAGAGGACCACTTCGCGAACATGAACACCGCCCTGCAGCTCATGCTCCTGTCGCCAGGCGACGATGGCCTCGACACAGGCAGCGCCCTGCTGTTCCCGGCGTGGCCCTGCGAGTGGGATGTGGACTTCAAGTTGGCCGCGCCGCGCCGCACAGTCGTCCGTGGCAGACTTGTCGGCGGCAAGCTCGTGGAGTTCGAGGTGGAGCCCCCCGAGCGCAGAGCGGCGATCACAGTGCTGCCCTGTCAAAGCGTAGCGCACACCACGGACATCTTTGTGTGAAGGTCGTGCGCGGTCCATCGCACGAAGTTGTCGGTGGCCGAACTAGGCATCCGTGACCAACGAATCGGGAGCGGTAGGACCGAGGTAAAAGATCGAGGTCGGTTCTGGGAGGGTACCCTCATGTTCTTCGTGTCTCTTGGATGTTCGCGTGCATCCTGGAGGAGGGTGCCCTCGAATGCTCTTCAGTTAGGCCGGAGAGTCTCATGCTCTTGAAGGAGGTGATTATGTCTTAGGTCCAGCCGTAGGGCACCGCGCTGTGAGCGACAACAGTCCCACATGTTGTTCTGGTAGTTGCGCGCGCACAGGCCGGGGACGTTGTGTATCGTTGGTTCCCTGTGATGGCCATGACCACTCAGCATGAAGTCTCCACCCACCGCAGCTGGTTTGGAGCTGGATTTGAAAAGATGCCGCTCTATTCGTGAGGCCGCTGCAGCCGATTCCCTGCAGGTCTCCGCTCCAGAGGGGCCAAAGCGTCCAAAATCCTCGATCTTCGATCCGCAGATTCAAGGGAACTGGGAACCACGAGCGCGCCGCTTTTGGCGCGACCTAGGGCCGCAGGGCTCCTCCTCCTCCTCCCCTCCTCCTCTTCCTCCTTCTTGTCTTTTCACGACTACGACAATCCCCACGCGGGCGAGGACCATCGCCAGGGCCACCGACCAGAGGCGCGCACGCGGGGTGGAGGGAACGGGAGGAGGAGGAGGAGGAGGAGGAGGAAGAGGAGGAGGAGGAGGAAGAGAAGGAGGAGGAGGAGGAGGAGGAGGAGGAGGAGGAGGAGGGGGTCTCCGTTTTTCTCCAGCTGTTCCTCCTTCTCTCGCCCCCTCTACCTCCTATTGCCCCTCCGGCCCCCTCCTCATCATCCCCCTCCTCATTGTCCTCCTCATTACCCCCCCGCTCCTCCCCAGACATCTGGCGCTCTGATTTTTCCGATACGCGGACCCCCGCAGGTCTCCCCTAGGGTTTTTTTTATCATCCGAAGTGCTTTTGTTGACGATAATGGTGCCCCTTGAGGGCCCCCGGAGGCTGAAACATATCCGATCGAAGGACACAACCACATGCAGTCGCGAGTATCGCGGTGCAGCTGAGATGAAGCAAGGGGCCAGCAAAAGGTCAGCGGTGTTGATGGGAGGAGTTTCTTTGTTTTCGCGCGAGCCCAGGGCGCCGCCGTTTTGTTTCCATTTCCTTGCTAGTTATTCCTCCCCTCCGCTTGCTTGTGTCCGTTGTGCGTTGCGTTCTTGCCCGCATGGTCCGCAATGGCCCGAGCCACAGGCGCCGCCGCTTTTTGTATCCATTCCCTTAGGCCACTTAGCCAACAGGCATTTCACCGTCTTCGGAGACAACTTGCTCGTCTCCGCACCGATGCGCGAGGCAGGCATGCACCCCCCACGCGCATGCCACATTCTCCACCGTACGGAGCAGATACGCAGCCCAAAACTCATCCTCGCAGTGTACAACGACCACGGCATCTTTGAGCGCGAGGTCCACATCGAGATCTTCCCGCAGCGCTTACCGACACCACGAGACAAAACGGCTCAGACAGCGCAACCAGCATCGACTCCTGCAATCCACAACACATCCAAAGAGACCCGCATGGCCACTGCTACCAACAGCGGTGGTATTAGTATGGCAAGCACAACTCCAGCAGCACCCCCCTCGCCCGTGACATCCAACCCAGCCCGCGACATCCTTTCTCAGAATTTGCCCAACCCAGACCCCAAGACCGCAATATACAAAGCCCCACCTATCATGCCGACCATCAAAGAAGGCAGCATTGCACATGCAAAAGATAAGACCGACTTCGACATTACGAGCACCGAGCTGGAAACAACCACAGCAGGCGAACAGCACAGGCTCACCACTCCATCCAGCTCGACCGACCCGACGCTCAATGCCACGACGCCCAGCCCGACCGCCAAGCACCCACCCCCCATACAGGTTGAGCTCCAGAAACCCACCGGCTGGTTCCCAGTTACAACGATCACCCAGGATAAGGTAAACCCAGACACATTCACCTTTCCTATGGGCACCACCATACGTTACCCATACTGCACCAAGCTCGAAGACTCCCTTGCCCACGGCACCATCCGTGTCAACGACGGCGACGAGGTTACGATGCTCCACGTGTATTTCAACAAAAGCAACAACGAACTTTGGGCACGTCGAGCCATCGCTCAATCCATCAGCATGCGAATCAGCAAACAGGCAATCAGGCCTTGATCGTCGACGCCGTCACCCACTACCGATCCCACCACCACGACATTCTGGACAAGCTCGACACCCTTGCCACAATGGCAGGATACCCACCGGTCAGCTACAACACGGCCGAAACAACTCAGAGGGAAATCATCGCGGCCAACGACCTCGCCCACCATTACCTCGACAAACTCAACGACTCTACGTCACCCAACTTCGCTCCTGACCACTGGCGATCGCCACCCACGCCACTGTGCGAAGCCGCACGAGGTGCCCACGCACCCGACGCCGACCAGAGGCACTGCCACCCCTCACCCCCGCACATCCACCAGAGGTTAGGCAGGCGCACCCACCACCCCTCCGACCTCGTATGCTCCGACCACGTATACTCCATCGACTACCTCGTATACTCCATCGACTCCGTTTCCGTATACTCCATCGACTCCGTTTCCGTATACTCCATCGACTACCTCGTATACTCCATCGACTACCTCGTATACTCCATCCACGAGGCGCACCCACCACTCCATCGCCTCCGTCTCCCGCGTCGAGATCAGCCTCGGAGGCACAGGCGGGGCATGCGCACCAGCCATCCCTCCGACCTCTCGTATGCTCCGTCTTCTCCGAGCTCCGCGTCGAGACGTCCACGTCCTGAGATACAGACAGGTCGTGCACACCAGCCGCCCCCTCCGACCTCGTATGCTCCATCTGCTCCGTTTTCCGCGTCGGCATCTATTTCGGAGGCATGGGCAGGGCATGCGGACCCCCCGGCCTCGCATACTCCGTCTGATCCGATTTCCGCGTCGACGTCCACCTCCGAGGTACGGACAGGTCAGGACAGAGGGATGGGCGGAGGCTGGGGGGGTAGATCGGTGGGGGGGCAAGGGGGTGACATACACAGACATAGTTGCGACTGCCCCATCAACACACCTGCGCTTAGGCTCCTGGGACCGCGCCTAGGGGAGTCGAGATCAGGGTCAGTTGAGGCCCAGGTGCTCCTCGCCAGTCGCACCGTCACCTTACTCATCTCCTCTCTTGATTTCTCTCGCTACACTTCCCGCTTGCAGCAGTGCCGCCTCGCTCGCCAGCAATTGCAGTTTATCGCCGTGTCCATGCCTTGCTTTCACTACCCATAAAATCTCGTTCACGGCCGCCCCCTTCACCCACGATCTCTACCTCACTTTTCAGGCCGAGCGAAGACGCACTTGGGTCCCCACTTCAAAAGAGCATGGTCACCGCACCACCTCCAGAAGATGGTAACTGCACCCCTCAGCCTCACCCCAAGAGAGCAGGCTACTGCAGCCACCTCCGCGCCACGTCGTTCCCTGTTCGCATTTGCAGACGCAGTCCACACTATGCCTCTTCTTGACTCTTGCTGCCCACCCGTGTCGCCGCTGCATGTTCCTCACCTCCATGCTCATCAGCTCTGTCACCAGCATTGCGCATCCTCCAGCGCACGTCGCTCTCAATACCGCCTGTTGCATCGTCGGGAGGCGGGGGGATGAGGGACAGCGGTTAGTTTGGGAGGGCCGGGGAGGGGCACAGCCTGTTCCGCTTGCGCGCGCACCCATCCACCTACTTCTGCGTTCTTCCCGGCTCCTCTTCCCGCGTCCTTCGGGGCCTCCAACATCGCCCTCTTCCTTCCTTGCGAACAGGTGGGGTAAACCACCTGCAATGCCTAGAGGCGAACACTCACCTCCTCTTTCTCCTTCTCTCTCTCTCTCTCTCTCTCCTCCCCCGCCCTCCTTCGTTTCTTTGCCTTTCGCCCTCCTTTCCCCGTCCCTGCCTCTGGGTGCTCGCCTTCTCGCATTACAGTCGAGGCGCCCTACGTCCCCGCTCGAAATATGAGGTGATGCATATGCTCTCCACCTACTTCGTTGCTACCACCTTTTCCCTACGCGGAGGAGGAGGAGGAGGAGAAGGAGGAGGAGGAGGAGGATGCCCATGGTGAAACTAATCATCGGGAGGACGCGCGCAATCCTCGTTTGCCACGCTTCGCGGGCATCGATTGCCCTGTGCCGTCGCAACCGCGGGCAGCCACGTCTGCTCGCGCGGTCGAGGGCGTATGGCCGCAGCGTGCGCCCCGTAGGTGCACCTGGGCGCGGTGCAAAACAGACTATTGCACAACCGCCTGACGATGCGCAAGGGCGCCAAGGAGATAGGGCGTACATGTAAGTTCCGCACGCCCGCGGACAGCAGATATCCACATTGGCAACGGGAGGCTGTGGACAACCCGCGAAGGAACGAAGAGGAGGAGGAGGAGGAGGAGGAGGAGGAGGAGAGGAGGAGGAGGAGGAGGAGGAGGAGGAGGAGGGGGAGAGGAGGGACGAGAGAGGAGGAGGAGGAGGAGGAGGAAGGAGGAGGAGGGAGGACGAGGAGGAGGAGGAGGAGGAGGAGGAGGAGGAGGAGGAGAAGGAGAAGGAGGAACAGGAGGAACAGGAGGAACAGGAGGAGGAGGAGGAGGAGAGGAGGAGGAGGAGAGGAGGAGGAGGAGGAGGAGGAGGAGGAGGAGGAGGAGGGGAGGAGGAGGAGGAGGAGGAGGAGACGGAGGAGGAGGAGGGAGGAGGAGGAGGAGGAGGAGAAGGGAAGACACCCGCGCGGCGAGCTCCTCCTGCGGGGCCCGAGCGACCGCGCGCCAGGGGGCTGCCGATGGAGGAGGCTCGCGCCAGCCTCCGAGGACCAGGAGCCGTAGGCGCCTCCAGCCCGCACGGCCCACGAGCGTCCAGGTGGGGGGGGGGCCGGGGGCGCTGGCGGAGGGGTGGGGGGTTCGATGGCGGGGGGGGGGGCAGCGGAAAAGTGCAGCGGGGGACGGGACGGGGCTGTGGAGAGGGGGAGGAGTGCATGAGGTACAGGAGGGGCCAGAGGAATGGAAACAAAAGGGGGGTGCACGAAAAGGACATGCAGGAGGAGGGGGAGGAGGAAGAGGAGGGCGAGGATGATGAAGATGAGGATGGGCAGGGGAAGGATGGGCAGGGGAAAGAGGCAGAGGTGGAGGAGGAGGAGGAGAAGGAGCTGTGGAGTAGCAGGAGGAAGTAATGGTCGAGGATGAGAGTGGCCGGAATTGTAGTCGGAGTAGTAGTCGGAGTAGTAGTCGGGGGGGGAGGAGGAGGAGGAGGAGGAGGAGGAGGAGGGGGGAGGAGGAGGAGGAGGAGGAGGAGGAGGAGGAGGAGAGAGGAGAGAGAGGAGGAGGGAGAGAGAGAGGAGGAGGAGGGAGGGAGGAGAGGAGGAGGAGGAGGAGGAGGAGCAGGAAGGGCAGGAATAGGGAGTGAGGAGGTGTCCTGGCGCCTTCGCCTTCCGCGCCCCGGACTGCCCGGCGCCCGGCGGATCTTCCCGCTCCACCCGGAGCGCGGGGGGCGCGGACGGCCGAAGCCGCTGTGGCTGCGGCTCGAGAACAACTGCCTGGCCGAGGACGGAGGAGCCGGCGCCTCCTCCCCTTGACTTCGCTCTCCTTCTGCTCCTTCACCTCCTCCCCCGTGGGGCCAG